TCGAATAGAAACAAAGAGAGACAACGCGTGACATACCTGGTGGGCTTAAGCAAGGGATGACAGAACGTCGTCTGGAAGAGGAAGCAGAGGGAAGGAACTTGTTGAGAGCTGCAAGGGATAGAAGGAGGTAGAGAGCCATGATCGCCTATGTCATGAAAGGACACGGCACATAAAAAGGGAAGTAAATACAGTATGTTGGTGGGCAGTTAGAGATACATTGTGGAATTCACTTGACTCCCTTCTATCAGTTGACTACTTCTTTCACGCAGCGCAGTATTAACTCCTTCCCCCCACTTGGACGAGATGTAACACAAGGTATTTTTTTAGGTGGGGACCCGAGCGCGTACGCTCGGGACAAGGTAAAAAAAATTGCCCTCAGCCCCTGCAACCGTTGGTTGCGCTGGCCTCGGTGTGAGCACCGATCCCTCCCTCTGGTGCAATGTGAGGTCGCGGCCTCCGGCAGCTCTTCCCTAAGACTGGGCACCTCTCAGTATAATTTTCTCAGTTGCCCCTCTGTCCTTTGACAGAGAAGCCCCAGAACGCACTCTGCACAAAGACAGAGACGCAACTGAAAGATAATAAGCCTGCGTTGAAAATCCCTCCAAAGAGGAATTTATACGCAGCGCTGGCGAATCTTGTATGTGTTATTCTTGTTCAAAGTAATATCGTTCATTGCCAACCTTCCTGTGATTATTCTATTCAGTAACCTTCCCTAAGTTAGAAAAGTTTCCAAGAATTTTCAAGAGACTCTTACGTTCTAATTTCCTCAAATCTCTTTTGTTGCTCACATGTTCCTTTCGTATGTTTTTGTTTTTTACCTGTTTCTGTAAAACCATGTTACTCTTGCCTTAAGTTTAATCCACACCTGTGAGGAAATTGTCCAACATTTGTTGCCATATAGAGTCATATCAGACAACAGTAATGCACGCTTTTCTGTCTTTCCAAATTTTACTATCATTCTTTCTCCTCTTCTGCCATTCATTCAATCTCTTTTACCCTACCTTTCTTTCTTTGAATATATCATTTGAGTATTAAATTTTCCAAGCCATCTTTCCTCAGAAATTTTCCCAACAATTTTAACAGTCGCGTTCTGATTTTAAGCATGAGTCTTTCAAGTTCTCATTTACTTGAGGAACTCACCGTTACTCACGTGTTTTGTCCATGACATTCTCAACATCCTTCTGTAGTATCTGTCTATATTTCTGAGAGGTGGTATTATGTACACTATTTACATTATTCGGATTATTGTCCTCCTCTTCGTCGCCATACTTATTACAACGTTTCGGCTGTTGTACGCTCCGGCCTTCTTCAGTATCTGTCTATAAATCTGAGATGCGGTATTATGTACACTATTTACGTTATTCGGATTATTGTCCTCATCATTGTCGCCATATTTATTACAACGTTTCGGCCGTTGTACATAATACCTCATCTCAGATACTGAAAGGCCGAAACACCACAACAAGTTTGTACACGTTTCCAGTGATGTAAGATGGTAATCTGTAGAGTCCAGTGATGAGACAATATTCTCCCTTCTTACAAATAATGCTTGTTTGACCTGGGAAATAACAACCAGATTCTGTAAGCCCAGGACACACTAACCCAATATCTGTAACCACGATTTAGGTTGTCATAACTTTGATTTTTGTGTTTGTTGCATAAACGCCGAACGTCGCTTTGTTGACCCAGAACATTTTAACCATTTCTGCTACTGTTCCTGCAAGTGGAAGGTAATATACCGTTCCAGACCATGCTCCAAAACATACAACCTTCTCAGCAGCATAAATGGCAGAGCTTGAGATGTTGTAGATGAAATTTCGAAAATGCTTTTTCGAATGAAAAGTTGAATAGCGACAGATATATCCAGGGCATTGTCGAACACATTCTGCTGCCATTCCTGCAACAAGAAAGCGATGTCCTGATTTAGCAGAATAATACTTGCCCACTTGATATCCCTGTCACTCATTATGTCTTACAATATGAGTGACAATTCCTCGAACTAGTACGATAAGAAAACACGCCTTCTACTGAACAGGTATAAGACACCCATCTTTTGCTGATTTGCGATAACAGATGCAAGAGGCAAGGGGAGTAAAGAAGGGTCACATGCATAAAGAACTGAACAATATAAACCACTCAGATCAGAACACATTTCTAAATATAACGCGAATGCATATTCCTACCATACTATCTACACCCTTGTGCAAATTAATTGAAACAACTGCTTTAGTTTCCTTTCTTTTGCCATACGGTTAGTTTTAGACCCACTGGCGTGATAGGATGTAATCGATTTCTATTTTTCCTCGGATTAGGTCATTTGCAATGGTGTGCAGGAATATGAATTTATTTTCAGGGTGTATGATGAAATTTGTTTGGCCTTGAAAAATATTCCGTCATCCATGATTGCATCAGATTTTTATCACGCCCAGACACTATTGTCTCGGCAGTCGATTAGTTGCCCTACAGCAAGTGTCTCCAGGGAAGCGTACGAAAATTGTAA